GAAAGTCTCTGAAAACTAATCGTGAAATTCGCCCAAATCGATCAAAAACGCGGACCGAAGGCTCCCGTCTTCGTTCAACAGGTTAAAGTACGTCAAACCGTGACCGAGGCTTTAACCTTGTTTAACCTGTCGGCATTTCGCGCCCACGTCATTTTCATTTTGGCGCGATGACTGACAACCGGCCGATCTCGTCGGACGACGACCGCTCCCAACGCCATCACGACGAAGACAGCGAATCTTAGATCCGTCGATAAACCCGAAGACGTTAGTTAGAGGCGAGCCTTTAGCGACAATCGCGTCCTTGTACTTCTGGAGGCGCTTGGCGACGAGTGTCTGCAGGGAGAAGAGGACGCCGGCCCACTTGTCGTAGAGAGCATCGAGCACATAGTTGTGTATGCGGCACAGAGACTCACGCGACCGACCGAACATGATCATCATATCGCAGTACCGCCGAGGGTAGGCCAAGCGGTTGAGAGCAACGCAAAGGGCTTCGACAGCGAGGCATCGATCCCGACCCTCGGTGATAACGACGGCCGGGAGTTGAAGAGCGCGTGAGAGGCGCGTCAAAGCGGAAATGCAGGATTGCATCGGCGTCGTTCGTCGGGGTCGAGGCGCGTGTCCGGAACCAACGGCCGCTCAATAACCGAGAGGAGCAGCTCGAGGAGCTGACGGCGGCGGCGACGAGACATCCGGCGACTGCGCCGAAGCAGCACCACAAGCTCGCGGGACGACAACATCGTTTATGATGAGGTTAGGCTATCGCAGCAGTAGCACAAGACCAGACGAGGATGGAATTCTTCTAATTTCTTTGCGAAATCAAGGCTGAGGTAGCTCCCGTCTTCGTCTGCATTCGAATGCCGACGGAGACGGGATGTCCTGTGCGAAATCACAATTTTTACTTTTTGCGTCCCGTCTCCCTCCACATAAAATAAAACGCAGATGGAAACGGGAAGTGAGTTGCGAAATCTCTCTAATGAAATGCATTCGATTTTTTATCCGGACGATGTTTGATTGGCTTTTTCCGGATCATCGGCCACGAGCTTCAACGCACGCCTGTTTGCATTGCAGAATCCACCAACGCTTCGAGATGCGGGATCGGACGACTGCACTAGTCATATTACGTCAAGCAGTGTAACGTCAGGGACGAGCAGAAGCAACTCGCCAATCTTGTGTGCGTGGCGAGGATGGGATCGAGATCGGATGGCTTGGATTGGCTAAAAAGAAGATACCTTCGTATTGTGGATTGGCTCAAAAGGTCCAGGTCCAGGTTTTACACCTAATGTCCCAAAATGGCGTTATTTTAGATGTTTGCACTGGTACAACATGACATGCACGCAACGCGGTCGTCGGATTGTACTCGCAGAATCACATGCGGTTTAATCGAGTCGTGCTCGCACCGTGCTGTGGCTCCGTACCATGGCTCTGGTCGACGTAATTCTCCATGGACGACCCGCCTCGACAAGCAAGAGTTATGTTGGGTTCGTTGGGTTGCCGCTGTATCACAAGGCCAACACTCTGCATGGGGGATAATCATCGGAGTATCACTAGATGCTTCAAAAAACAAAAAGACAAAGCAATCCACCATCATTCCCACTTTACCAAGTGATCGCGCCAACAACCAGCGCAGTCGACAAGCGAATGACCATCGACCCTTGTCCCGACGCGAGCTCCTCTTCGCCCGCGCGCAACGACGCCGAGACGAGTGCATCGATGATGCTGACGACCATGACGCCAGCTCCGAGGTACCGCGGCCTGCGCAACGACAGCGCGACCTGCTACCTCAACAGCCTCCTCCAGACGCTCTATATGACACCCGAGCTGCGCACGCAACTGTACCAGATGACATCGTCCGCAAATAAAGGCAGCCTTCTGCGAGAGCTCCAGCTCCTCTTTGCGAGGCTCCAACTGCGAACCGACCGCAAGGCCATCAACACGACCTCGCCCATGCAGAGCTTTGGCTGGACGCCATCGGATCTTCTGCAGCAGCACGACGTGCACGAGCTCTACCATGTCCTCTTCAAGGCTCTCGATGCCTCACTTCAAGGCTCGCCCAATGCAAACCTCGTCAAAGACCTCTACCAATGTTACATCCTTTCATCTGGATGAGGCATTCCTAATAGACACAATGCGTAGGCACGCTCACAGACTCTGTCCAATGCATCACATGCAGTCACGAGGCCAGTCACGATGACGCCTTTCTCGACCTCTCGCTCGCCATTCCATCAACACCAACAAGTCTTGATGACGCCATCGCAACCTTCCTCGCACCCGAGCGCCTCGTCAGTGACAACCAATGGCTCTGCGACGTCTGCGGCACCAAGCAAGACGCCATCAAGCGCCTGTCGCTGGTGCAACTACCGCCGCTGCTCACACTCCACCTCAAACGCTTTGCATGGGACCATGGCACGTCGAAGCTTACGAGCAGAGTCTCGTTTCCCAAGTACCTCGACATGAACGCGCATCATGCCTCGACGTCCAGCCGTCCCAAGGTGCCGCCGTCTTCCACGACCACGCAAGAAGCAGCAACAGAAGCTTCGTGGCACCCGTCCTTTGACCTCGCTGCTATGCTGGCAACCCAAGGTCCGTTTGTCTACGAGCTCGCGTCAGTGCTCGTACACGCTGGCGCTGCGAACGGTGGTCACTATGTCGCGTACATCCAGGCGTCACTGGACGACGATCGTCACTGGCTCTGCTTCAACGACGCCTCGGTCTCGACCATCTCCGACGCCAAATTGCGCACGGCGTATGGCGTCGTGTCGGCCAACTGTGGCTACTACGAGTCAACGCGCGCGCCGTGTGCCTACGTGCTGCAGTACCGCCACGTCGACGTCTCGCGCATCATGAAGTGTTCTTTGGACGACAACATGGTGCCCTCTTGGCTCGTCGATCTTGTACAAGCCGAGATGCAACGCGAGCAAGCAAACAAGCAAGCGCGGGTCGAGCGCTTGCGCATCCAACCGCCAAAGAAAAAAGTTGTCCACGCCATCGACATGATTGAACTTATCCTCTTCCACGGCATCAGCCGCAAGAAGCTCCTTGTCTCCAAGCACGCTACGCTCGCCGAGGTGACGGCGCAGGCCGTCTCACTCTACGCGCTGGACATCCCATTGGACCGCATCCGGCTGCGCGCCCACTGCTTGTATCATCTGGTGCCGCGCGAGACGTACGACGGCCGCGAGCACTGCACACTGGCCGATCTGTCGATCACGCCGTACTGGCGCTTCTACATGGAGACTCGGGCCAGCTCCGGTGAGCCGTGGGCGGGCTACGACCCGACAGCGCTGACGCTGAAGCTGCGCCAGTACGTGCCATCGACGCCGACGACACCCGAGCACTTTACGGAGCCGCCAGTGTACGTTCAGATCGCGGGCGATGCGTGCTTCGAGGCCTTCTTGTCGCTGGTTTGCGCCACGTATCGCACGAACCGTGACTGCACGCGCGTCATCAAGATGTATGCGGTGGGCTACGAGTCGATAACGGCAAGCGTTCTCAACCCGACCAACGACAGGACGCAGCAGACTCTGCGCCCCGATCTCGGCGTGTACGACGGTGCCAACATTTACGTGGAAGAGGTGGCCGATCTCGCGTCGTCGCCTTCTTGCGCGCAAGAGCTGTTTGCGCGCGAGACACATACCATCACCCTCGACATCACCACGGACGAGGAGCCGCTGCTCAAGCGCGTCAAGGGGAACGAGATGGTCTGGCCATTCCGAGTCGACCGCCGGCAACCGCTTCGGGTGCTCAAAGATCAACTCGGCGCGTTTTTCGAGTTGCGACCTGAGTCCTTCAAGCTGCGTCGCGGCGCCAAGAATGGGCACGAACTCAAGGCCCTCGACACATCGATGGCCAACCTGTCCCTTGACAATAGGGGCACGTTGTATGTCGAGCTCGGGGCAGCGCTACGCGCCGGCGAATACCGCGTCAAAATCTTTCTCTACACACCACTCAGCGTCGCGAAATGGGCGTCGGCTGTGCTCTTGCCGTCGTGGCTGCACGACAACGAGCTCTCGTTCTGCACCGATCTCGTCGTTCGAAGCGAGACGCGCGTGGGTGAGATGAAGACTGCGATCCGCGCCATTCTCAAAGCGACGCACCCACGCGCGATGTACCTCCGGCTCCGAGACGTGCTCGTGCACCGCCGCCTTTTGGCTGTCTATGCCGACGACGATGCAACACTCGACGAGGCGTACGACTACCAGACGTTTGCCGTCCAGATTCTGGACGCGCCCGAGGCGCTGCTGGCCTCGCACAAGCTCTTCTCGCTCGTGCTCTTTGACCGAGGGGCCAATGCGTTTGGGCCGAGCGTCGAGCTAAGTGTCCCAACCGGGGACGTGATGGCAGGCGGCCTGCACTGGATGGATTACCTCGTGCGTGAGATTCAAACCACCTTTATGATACCACCCGACGCCATTCGCTTTGCCAAGCCACGACATGCAGACGGCGTCAACTTGATCGACCTTCAAATGGACAATTCGCCCAAGGTCACGTGGATCGACTGCCACCAAGGCCGCTGCTTGGACAGCACGGCCAAGTTGTCACCGTATAGCGATCGCGTCGTCGTTGCAGATGCCCGTGTGCCCGCAAAGGTGCTCTCGAGAGACGAGTACATTGCGCTGCAAGCCCGCATCGACATGGCGAGCGACGTGTACACGCAACTCGTCGGCGTTGGGTGGTCGTCGACCAACACCACCGTCGAGATCGCATCGAGCACGGCGCACAAGGCTAAGGCGACTGCGCTTGTTCTTGGCGCGCATTAGAGTCGTCAATATACACAAGCCATCGAAGATTCAACCACACATTATTGTCTCGACCGTCCACATCAAGGGGTGCGGCAGCAGTGGGGATGGCACCTTTCCAGCAATTGTACGGCATACAGTATTCTTGCTGCAGCGGACACGTCGGGGCTCGTCCCAACGACGACGTTCATGCATTCAGATGGTGCTTGGGATGTTCTTGTATGACCAAGCGGCTTCCATTCTAAATGGTGCCACTGATCTATCTATCTATCTATCTATCTATCTATCTATCTATCTATCTATCTATCTATCTATCTATCTATCTATCTATCTATCTATCTATCTATCTATCTATCTATCTATCTATCTATCTATCTATCTATCTATCTATCTATCTATCGTTTTTTCTCCGGACGCTGTTCCATCGATTTTACCGGATCGCTGCGGTCGCCCGAACTCTAGACAGTCCTTGCGGCGTACCAAGATGGCTATACAAAGGACACGATCGCGCTGACACGGTTGCTGCGCTACCAGCAGGTGTATAGCAAGCAGTGCGACTACAGCGCCTTTCCTCGGCCTTTCCAGCGTGGTATGCGACCCGCGGCGACGATGGCTTGTGGCAGCTGCCCTTCCTCGTGCACGATGCACTGCGCCACAACTGCGTGCCCGTGCTAACACACATGCCTTTGAAGCGCAGCTCGGCTACAAGCACATGCGTCTCGCGCTCGGCTACGGCCACGCGCCGGTCGTCGGCTTTTTCATTTCACGCCATTTTGCTTTGCCAAGTTTCGGGCTTCGGATTGGATGTGCTTGGTGCTTACGAGCAAAGTTGGTTGCAAGTCTTGTATGTGTACCCTGACCCCGCGTCCCTTTCTTGTCAGGCGGTTAATTACCGGGATTACCAATATGTCAAGCTACTTGATCGACCAGCAGAGTCCGCGGTCGTGAGCCAGACCCGTGTTACGTCGCTCCACTTGGATGCGACTGTGGGCCGACCTGGAGCTGCAGCACCCGAAGGTACAGAAGGGGTGCTCACTTGAATTCGCGGGCTGATGGGAGTCGTTGGCTTGGCGACCGACGCGAAATGTCGGGTGGTCTGATGACGATGCAGGTTGAATGTTCATGGTGCCGACTCTGACCGAGTTGTTTTGTTTTGGCGTCTTGGTCGGCGGTCGTCGTACATGAGAGTGTTTTCGTTGTGGCGTTGGGTCTTCTGACTTGCTTTTCGTTCTGGCGGCGTCGAGCTGGGCGGTTGGCTGGATGCCTTTGCTTTCGTTTTGGCGGTGTGGCGCGTTGGATTTGGTTTCTTTGTTTGGGTCGATGTCTTGAGTTTCGGGGTCGGATGATATGGATCTTGCTGCTGAAGGTTGATGGCTGATGACGGTGGCAACTGGCTGATTTGCGCTCTGTGCTCTTTGCTCGGTGCTCATGTTTATTCAGTGTTGGATTTGATGTTGGTTCTGGCCCCCTGACTGTTGTTTTTGTTGTTGGTTAGTTTGTCGCCTTTCTTGGATACGTCGTCTTGTACCGCGTGGCGATGAGATCCTCATCGCTCAGCGTCGCTTGGTCTCATATATATATATATATATATGGCTCGCAACAGGCGAAGGCATCGACTGACGAGGCCTCCTTCTGCCGGATGACCGACGGCCGCGCCTCGGAGGACGCAGCCACTCGTCGGGTGGTTGCGCTTGCCGGAATGGCTGGAAAAACGCGGAATGATTCTGCACCACTGCTATGAATATCCACACTCGAACCGCCTACCAAAAAGACTCTGCCCCGAACCGTAAGAGAACCTAGTCTGCAATTTGCCTCGCCTCGATCACCATGAAACTGCTTTGCACTGCGATGATGGCGCTCATGCTGGCAACGTCCGCGACCGCTGCGTGGTGCACGGCAGACCAAGATACGGAGATCAACACCTTCTTGGCGGCCAACGTCTCGACCTCGTGCAATGCAAGCATGCCCAGCTGGTGGAGATGGATGACGTTCGCGGATGGACTCGCCTACGATCAATACCTCATGTGCCGGCCGCCATGCAAGGACGACCTGCAGAACCTCACGAGCAGCATTCCAAATTGCACCGATTACGCCGGAACTTACGCCAAGGTCGACCGACTAAAGCAGATGTGCACCGACATGACGCGTCCAACGACCAACGGCGGTGCGTGCACGACGGCCGACGCAAACTTGCTCGGCGGATTGCTGCTCAAAGAACCGGTGTGGCTCAACTGCTCCAGTGTCAAGAACGCAGACTTGTACTCCCTTCGAGCTTACACCACCAATGAGGCCAAGGCGCTGTGTGGGTCCACCACCTGCTCGGCCTTTATCAACGCGATGGCCAACTTGATGCCCAGCTGCGTCGACACGTACGGGGTCAACACGATGGACAAATTCCGGTATGAATTTGGGTGTACGCCTGCAGCAGTCGGGGCCAATTGCTCCATGGTGGATATGGCGGTCAAGCGCGATGCATACGCCACGGGGCTTTGGTCCAACTGCACGACGATGCTCGGGAGTACAGATCCCGGATATAGTTGGACGCTCGAAGACCTTGAATCTCTGCTCGACAAACTCGCTGACTCACCCGAAGACGTGCCATCGGGCTTTTGCGCGTCGACCTGCCCAGCAAACTACTTGTCGATGAGAAAGAAGCTTCCGTCATGCACCTCTATCGAGAGTGTCAAGATACTTTCCGACCCAAGTCCTCTCTACCGCATCTGCCCCAGCCTGAAGCCAGAGCCGACACCAACTCCACCACCCGCTCCGACGTCCTGCACGACAGACCAAGAGACGAAGATCCGAGAATTCTTGACGGCCAACGTCTCGACCTCGTGCAATGCGAGCCGACCCAGCTGGAAGAGCTCGATGACGTTCGCAGATGGACTCTATTTCGATCAATACCTCATGTGCCAGCCGCCGTGCAAGGCCGACCTGCAGAACCTCACGAGCAGCATTCCAGAGTGCGTCAATGACCGCGGAACATTCGCCCAGGTCGACCAACTAAAGCAGCTGTGCACCAACATGACCCGTCCAACGACCAACGGCGGTGCGTGCACGACGGCGGACTCGATCTTGTACCACGGATTGCGGTTCGACGAACCGGTGTGGCTCAACTGCTCCAGTGGCAAGAACACATACTTGGACGGACTTGATGCCAACACCACTGAAAACGCCAAGGCACTGTGTGGGTCTGCCACCTGCTCGGCCTTTTTCAACTCGATGGCCAAGGTGATGCCTAACTGCGTCGACAAGTACGGAGGCAACACGATGGACAAATTCCGATCTCTGGCTGGATGCACGCCCGCAGCAGTCGGGGCCAATTGCTCCATGATTGATCATGCGGTCATGCACGGTGCCCGTGATGCGATCCTTTGGTTCAACTGCTCAACGTTTCTCAACAATTCGTACTTGAAGACGTTCGGTGCCCTCGACGACACGGTCTCTTACATGTATGAAAACTTGCCGTCGGGCTTCTGCACGTCGACCTGCCCTGCAAACTACTTGTGGATCAAGAAGACGCTTCCATCCTGCACCTCTTATGGCATGATGCTTTCCGACCCAAGTCCTCTCTACCGCATCTGCCCCAGCCTGAAGCTATCGCCGACGCCCGCCCCGACACCCGCTCCAGCTCTGACCTGCCCGCTTCCCGGCTCGTACCGTGCGACGGGAATGCGCATGGACCTTGCCACCTCTGGGGATTTCACCGAGTCGCACGATGGCAGCGGCAACACGTGCTCGACAACAGGAACGTATGCGGTCTCGGGTCAAACCGCAACGTTCACCGTGTCGACCGTCTCGGGTGTCTGCGGCAGCGCCTTTACGGCCAACGCAAAGCTCTCGGGCCCCATTTCATTCTCCACCGACTGCAACCAACTCACACTCAACTACACGGGTACACCGTCGACGCTGCAGCGAGCGTCCAACGCAGAGACCGCGGCCACGAGTGCGATGCTGCTTCTTGGTGTTTTCCTCGCGTCAGGTGCGCTCTAAACGGCCGATGGGATGACTCTAGTATAGTTGATTCTCATATTTAAGACTGAAAAAACTCATCCTTCGTACGTTCAACATCGCGTTCGAGTCCTCTACGAGGTCGCGTGCGAAGCCAAGGCATGTGGCAGTCGATCCTAGCGACGATCGCGCCGCCGATATGGCGGCTTCTCGCGCACTACAAGCTGTGCATGGCCGAGGCAGCAATTACCGACGCCGACATCCTCGCCTGGATCGAGCGCGAGCTGGTGGAGACGACGCCAACGTCGATCAAGGCGATCGTGCAGCACTACCGCGTGCACCTCGTCATGGACATGCGCATGTTGGCAACCACGGACACGTATCGGCTTGGCCTAAATGCACAAAGTACAGATGGTCCGGACTCGGAGGCGTTTGCATGCTACATGCCTTCCTCACCTTCCCTTGCCCCAGAGACTGGTAGAACACACCTCCTTACCCCCAAAACCCCCCGAACCCGGTGCTTTGATGAGCATAACACCCCTGTGGACCATCTGCTCTTTGTGCATTTCGGCTATTCGACACGTGTCGCTCGGCAGCTGCGCCAACGCGGACCCGCATCCTATCTGGCGAGGCGTCATGAAGAGCGCACACACCACGTCGTCTGTCGTTAGCTCGAACGCGCGCGCGGCGTGGAGAACGTGTATGAGTGTCAAATGGCCGCCGATCGCGGCGCGGCCCGTGGCCACAGCGCCAGGTTGGGTTGGGCTGCGCGAGCAAGTGGTGGCGAGAACATGGTCTCGTCTGAAGCGGCCGCCTCGAGATGGTGCTATTTGCGTGCGAGCATCGCGCAACGGCCTGTCTGGGTGCCCTCGTGCTCCTGGTCGCTACAAAAGAGTAGTACATGCACGTCTTCGAGTGGCTCTATACCACGTTAAAGCCCGAGCGACGTCACATCGAGCGAGCTCTGTATGAACTGCACACGTCCTGTCTCGCAGTCTCGCAGCAGACCATGACCGCGTCGCAGGAGATTCCTCGCAGCAATGCATCTTGACGACGTCAACCGATTGCAGTATGTACATCCAAGCGGTGCCGCCCGCTGGCCAAAGGAGGAGCCGGTTCATCTTCGGACGGACCCATTGCCTTTTGCTGTGCACTCGAGCGCACGCCTCGCCATGGCCAAGGGTGCCATCGATCGAGACAGCGGATTCGCAAGGGGTCGCAAGGGGACTACCTCGTAGGATATGGGTGGAATAGAGACTAGGCATTGGCTATAATTCGGAAATGGAGACCAGGCATTGGTCGATTTTATTTAAACGGCACAGGCCGGAGACCAGGCATTGGTCTAAATTGAAGTAATTCAATCTAACACTCGAAGTTCGTCGAAGTTCGAAATCCGGATTTTCATATCTTCGACACGAGCCCGCCGACCGTTGCGGCCGTTGCATCGGCAGTTACAGAGCTATGGACTGCCGCAGCTCCGCGGCAAGCGGCCGACGATGCGCGTGCGAGTGAGCGACCTCAATGGCCGTTCGTGCTTGTCTTTCGTAGTGTGCTGTCCAAGCCACACGCGCACAGCTCGCGCGCACCTGTCGCGTGGCGGCCAAGCGAGCGCAAGGAGTGGCATCGTACCAGACGAAATTTCCAGCGCCGAGCTCGGAGCTCAATGAGCTACCACGTCTCGATGACCACTACACAACTACGACTCTCGACGACAGCTTGGAGCGACAGTTGCAGCGCGCGATCCCAAGACATGGCAACTCTGCGTGGCGCCACGCCACAC